GAGAAATGAAAACACATGTTTCTATAAAGATCTGTACATAAATGTGCAAGGCAGCTTTATTCATAATAACCAAAAGCTGGAAATAACTCAAATGTCCCATCAGCTACTGAATAAACAAAGTGTGGTGTATTCATACGATGGAAAACTATTCAGCTATAAAATAAAGGAACAGGCTACTGAAACATGGAATGAATTACTGAGACATGTGACAGTGTGGGCAAATCTCAAAAGCATGTGTTAAATGAAAGAAGTCAGACATGAAAGCCTTCATACTGTAGGATTCCATTTATGACACATTCTGGAAAAGGCAATGCTACGGGGCTAGAAATCAAATTAATGGTTGCCGGGGGCTGGAGTTGGGGGAAGGGGATTAACTACCAAAGGGCATAGGGAAGTTTTGAGGTTGATAGAAATGTTTTATATCTTGATTATGGTGATTACACAATGGTATACAGCCATAAAAACTCTTTGATCTATATACGAAGATGGGTAAATTTTACTGTATGCAAACAATATCTTATTAAACTAAAAAAATATGACAGTCTAAGAACCAGTGTGATAAAGTGCCATGCACAAGATGGGTAGATTGGAGTCAAAAAAAGGATATACCAGTTGTGGGTTGCATGAGTGTTCTGAGGGCCTAAAATGTGATCTTGGGATACAGTAACTATAGAAACCAAAAACAAGTGAACATTCCAATTTATGACTCTATTACCTTCCCTCTCAGGAAATAGAAAATGTAGATTCTATAGAAGTCACACATAAAAATTGCTCACAAAATCTAGTGCATACGATATGCCAAGCACTGTTCTAATGACTTCTACAGATATGACTTAATCTTCACAACAACCATAAACTAGGTAGAGACAGAACTCAAATTCTGGCATCTGACTTCAGAGTTAACCGTGGCATGGCACCGGTATCAATTTTCAAGCAGAGTCGATAATCTGTTGCAATAACAACCTGGCAGACACTGGTAGGGAAAGTAGTCATTGATTCCAGAAAGAGCTGAGGAATATGAACTACTTCCCCCAAACTGACAGCTTTCATTTCTGGCTTCCAAATCTAGAGGTTCACATCATTTTTACTCAGTTCTATAGGCCAAAGGGCAATGTGGTAGCCAGCCTACAAGACAGACCCCAGTGATCCTTACCTCCTTGCCTCCACATGGGTGGCACCATTCTACCTTGAATAGTGTCAGTAATTTGACCTCTGTAACCAGTAAGTTATTGCAGAAATGATGGAGAGTCACATCTGAAGGTAGACCATGAAAGACATTGCAGCTTCTGCCTTGCTTTCTTGGATTTGGTTTGGTTCCAGAATCTATTCCCTATGTGGCAGATTCTATTTTTTAAGTTAGCCACCACAATAGCTTCCATCCAACATGCTCTTCTACTTTGTCATCTTCTCATAAAGAGATCGGATCTATGGCCCCTCCCCTCAACTCTGGATGGGGTTCTGACTGTTCAACCAATAGACTGCTGCGAGTAAGGTAATGTGACCTCTGAGGACACATCAGAAGACGTCTGCATCTTCAGCTTTGTTCACTGGATCACTTGTGCTTGGAGTTCTAGAGCCACCATGAAAGAAGTGTGATATCCTTGACCCACTATACTAGGGAAGGCGAAGTTACATATGGAGGGGTCCTATGTAAGGTGCTCTAGTCAGCATTACTGGATTTCTAGTCGTCCCAGCACAGGCACTAGATATACAGATAAACAGTCTTTAGAGATGATTCCAGCCCCAGGAAGCGTTCCTCGGCTTTTGAATCTTCCCAACTGAGGACCCAGACACTATAGAACAAATACCAGTCATCCACACAGTGCCCTTTCCAAATTCTTGATCAATAGGGTCTGTGGGCATATTTAAATTTGGGGGTAGTTTCTTATGTAGGAATAACCGGGATACCCTGCAACTCCTGACAGTTTTGGTCTTCCCAAAAATGGCCCCTCCTTCAAGACCCTTGAGCCAACCACCAGTTGAAGACAGCTATACTGTAGGTAACATATGATCTTAAATTGCAAAGTCCTAAATTCTGAGGGTTATTTCAAGAGGCTGAAGACCTTTTTGAAGAACTGTTCATACTGTATACTTCCCCTAAAGCTGTTCTTAAGGCTGAATAAATAGATAAATTAATTCACACAATAAAGATGGTTGTAAACATAGCCTACTGTCTTAGTCTTTCCAGGCTGTTGTAACAATATATCGCAGACTGCGTTGCTTTTGAACAACAGAAATTTATTTCTCAGGAGTTCTGGAGGCTGGGAAGTTCAAGATCAAGGTGCCAGCATGGTTACATTCTAGGCACATTCTAGTGATGGCCTTCTTTCTGGTCTACATTCCATGGCTTCTGGCTGAGTCTTCACACGGTGGTAGAGGTAAGGTATCTCTAATTTTATTCATGAAGGCAGAGCTTAAGCACATTCCAAAGGAAGGTCCCACCTTCTAACACTATAATCTTTGGGATTAAGTTTTCAACCTATCAATTCGGGAGGCAAACTCAGACCATGGTACCTACAATATAAAACAGTCTTCAATTTAGGGAAATTAAGTTGTCATTGAGTCTATGGAATAGAATGATCAGGATGAGACAGTGACAATGTCTGAAAAGTATGTGTTTTTTAAAAATTAACATATAATGTATTATTTGCTTCAGGGGTACAAGTCTATGAATCATCACTCTTACACAGTTCACAGCACTCACCATAGCACATACCCTCCCCAATGTCCATTATCCAGCCACCCTATCCCTAACCGCCCCCCACCCCCCAGGAACCCTCAGTTTGTTTCCTGAGATTAAGAGTCTCTTATGGTTTGTCTCTCTCCCAGGTCCCACCTTGTTTCATTTTTTTCCCTCCCTTCCCCCTATGACCCCTGCCCTGCCTCTCGAATTCTTCGTATCAGAGAGATCATATGATAATTCTTTCTCTGATTGACTTATTTCGCTTAGCATAATACCCTCTAGTTCTATCCACATCGATGCAAATGGCAAGAGTTTTGTTTTTTTGATGGCTGCATAATATTCCCTTGAATATATATACCACATCTTCTTTATCCATTCATCTGTTGATGGACATCTAGTTTCTTTCCATAGTTTGGCTACTGTGGGACTATAAACATTCCAGTGTACAGGAGAGGCACCCGTTATTAATTTTAAAACCTACCAGTACCGGGGCGCCTCAGTTGTGAAGCATCTGCCTTCGGCTCAGGTCATGATTCCAGGACCTTGGGATCAAGCCCCGCATCAGGCTCCCTGCACAACGGGAAGCCTGCTTCTCCCTCTCCCACTCCCCCTGCTTGTATTCCTTCTCTCACTGTCTCTCCCACTCTGTCAAATAAATAAAATCTTTATAAAAATAAAAAAATAAAACCCACCAGTACCAAAGTTTCAAACTAGTAACATTACTCTCCTTCTTGAGATGGTATCTCAAAATCCTTTCACTCATACCTTATAAAGATTCATCCTATATTGTATTTTGAAAAATAATGGTAAATACAAAATCAAGAAACAAGACAATTAGCTTTGTCCAGTATTTCACTAAATGGAAACCCATAAGGACAGTAATTTTGTCAATCGTCTTCACTTCTGTATCCTCATTGTCTAGCATAGTGTTTGTAACAAAATAAGCACTTAAACTGGAAAATAAAGTGGAAGTAAAAAGAGTGTTTATTCTCTGATGATGGAGATATGAAACTCCCTGTTACCACAGTTAGGCTTTTAATTGTTTAAGTCTAACAAGCAAGACAAATGTTTTCTAGGCTGATGGGCACCATGGGATATGTCCATTGGTAAACCAGCCATCAATCAATCAATCATCCAACAATTATACTTGGGTCAATTTGAATTTTTATTAACACACATTTTTCAAAGTTTGTACAAACCAAAACATTCCTGTGTTTCAAAATGTCCATTATACAAACATACAAATGAACAAAAGGTGTTACCAAAAGTTAGCTACTCAATTTCATGGTAAAACAGTGTCATGATTTTTAAAAACCAAAATTTTAAGACTGAGGTTTCTTCCTTTACTTTTTGGAACTTGTGGAAAGTTAGAAAATGTGTGAATCTGCTTTATATTAAATGCCAAGACCTTAAAAAAAGATTTAGTATAAAACTAACTATGTGTTTTTATATTATCACTTCATGAAACAGAATTTCTCAAGTCTTCCAAATTAAAAAAACCCAAAAAACCATGACTGTAACTTTTTTCACCGTCTTTTCCCCATAGTCAAATGTAAATGCGTCTGAAAAATATTATCTGACAGTTTATCTTTACCTAAAAGTTTCTCATTCAAAAATTACAAAACTATTTAGCACTGCCGTTCCCCCTGCTTAGAAGGGAAAATGACTTCCCCTACTAGAGTGAGATAGAAGCAACATGGTCCATTGTTTCTCTTCTCAGAAAAAAAGCCACCCATTTCCACATCTCCGTCCAATTCTGTGCATGGCTCCACTTGTGAGAATGTTATTACAAATCATAAGCATCTGCCTCTAGGAAATGCCTAGCAAGTTAAACTGACTGCTTACAATTATGGTACACTGAGGTGCAAAGGTCATCTGCCCTCATCGTTACCTCTAGCCTCAGCACCCCTCCCTCTCCATTAAGGATTCCAAGGTAGTTGAATTTACTGTGCTTCATGGCATATTACACATCTCTCATTTCTTTCACAAACATCCCATAGAGGACCTGAGAGAATGGCTAGAAGTGCAAATCTATCTCCTCTCCTAGAAAAGTAAATCCATGTGCCTGTTGGGTCAAGAAGGGAAAACAGGACACAAACAATTCTGGCTGAGGCCAAGCTGCTCCTGATAAGCACCTGTTTTCAATATATCTCCATTCAAAGCAGGGAGTGTACAGGCTGGGGTGGATGAGGAGGAGTGGGGAGAAGGTACAGTGACATCAGTTCTTGCAATCAGATTCAGAGTCCATACTTGAGCAGCTCATACTGACTCTCAAAATGCTCTGTAGTTCGAGTATGATTCCATTTTGAATCTGCTCATTTAAAAAAAAAAATGTTCTCTGACAATGGCCCAATATAACCACTGATATAAGGGTGCTTTTTTTTTTTTTTTAAAGAAGTGGCAGTGTGAGAATTTAAAATCAGTCACATAAAACAATCAAAAAAGGGATAGGGGAGGGAATGTCCAGTAAAACCTGGACAACCTTTCTTTCTGCCCTTACTTTAAAAAGACAGACTGTTCAAATCTTTGCTATCTCCCTTAAGTATCCTCTTCTTAAATGCTCTTCCAAGAAATCCTCCAAAAGGCACTTAACTCCATACTTCTGCATTGAATTGTTTCACCTCAGCAATCAGTTTTTAAGACTCCAAGGTAACAAGAAAAGGTCTTATTCCTTTACGAAAAGGTAGAGAGTAGAACTTTTTTTAAGAGGCATCACTTTTACAAGAAGAACAAGCTAGGCTACCATTATTCCTTTATCAAGAAAAAGTTTCTTTTTTTAAAAAATAAATAAAACTCTGGCTATACATAGTACAAAGTTCATACATAATATACCTGGAAAAAAACCCAAGAATATACCCTGAAGCAAAAGGTTTATTGGAGAGAGAAAGCCTCTTCCATTTACCAAGTCTTAAGGTGGCAGTTTTCAAAGTTCAGAGGGTGGCAGTGATATGTAATTAATGTCAAACTATTTGCTTATGGGTATGGCAGGATGCAATGATGGACAAAAAAAAAAAACAAAAACAAACAAACAAACAAAAAATCATTCTGCACATAACACTGAGCAGTGACCACCACACACACACAAAGAGTAGTACCAAAAGGGAGAGACAGAGAGACAGAGAGTAGTACTGGGGGTTGGGTGTGGGGGGGAAGAGGAGTGAGAGCATGAGACAAAGAGCTTGGAACCCCAAACATCCAAGCATGCAGTCATGACACAGCACTAACCAGATGTTTCCATTCAGCCCACTGCAATCCCACAAAGAAGGGTAACTGTAATAAAATAGAGATTTCTTAAGAAAGCTTGCAATTCCCGAGAACAGCCTGGTCACCAAGCCTAACCCAGGAATCCCGCTGCTATTGGCTGGGAGCCTCCTTATGGTCTCTCATGGAGAGGTTATAGCTCCTGACTTCTCAGACTTCTTGCTCTTGGACAAGGCAGCTGCCTGCTTCAGGAGCTCTCGGTTTTTGGCCTAAACAAAAAAAGTCAGAACAAGAAGGATGTTTTAACAGGACAGGACACATTTTTCATGCAGATGCTAGGGCACACAATATAGAGGGTCAGAAGAGAACAAGCTCTTGAGGCAGAAAACAACAGAAAGCTCTAGGGCTTGGTTCAGAGGAAGATAGTGTTTGCTGGAGGTTAATCAGCACACTACAACCTCCTGGGATCCACGGTTACAGAAGGTGCTTTGTGCAACACAAACAAACCATGGAGTGCCTTAATGTGCTGGATAAACAGAATTCATAATTCAGACATCTGGAATCACATCTGGGTTATCCAAAAATCAAAATACACATTTATCACTTTCACCGTTTTTGAGGGAAAAAGATCAGAACACACCCAACAGTCAAACAATAAAAGACAACTATAAGGTGAATTAATGTGAATTTGTCAATACCCTGAACAAAGAAATCTAAGGGACAATCACTTAAAATACAATCAGCTAAATACACCAGGGTTATCACATAAAATAAGCAGAATCACCTGCAATTGCTCTGTGACTTCTTTGTGGGTTTTCTCCATCTGGTTCATTTTGGCTCTCATCTGAGATTCTTGGTATTGGAAATCAGCCTTCAACTCTGTGATCTGAGGGAAGGAAAAAAAAGGCAGAATGACCAAAAGAAATATCTGTGCAATGAAAAATGTTCTGGTACCAAAGAACTAAATGGTTTCCCAAATGAATAAAATCCAGGGGTCTCCTGAAGATCCATAACTACATCAAAGCCAAGAGATTCTGTATCCTAGTTTTTCTGAAGATTTCTTGAAAATTATACAAAATCCTGACATATCATTTCTGATACTTCATCACTGGCAGGTTTTAAAGATTTTTTGTATTGGGGTGCCTGGGTGGCTCAGTCGGTTAAGCATCTGTCTTCAGCTCAGGTCATGAGCCCCATGTCACGCTGGGCTCTCTGCCCAGCAGGAAGCCTGCTTTTCCCTTTCCCTTCGCCTGCCGCTCCAACTACTTGTGAGCGCTCTCTGTCAAGTAAATAAAAAAATCTTAAAAAAATAAAAATTTTATGTACTTAACACATGTCAATAATCTTCCAAATAAATCAGTGATTATAATAATACAGTATGACTAACGGTTTGAGAGAAGCCAGGAGAATAAAAGCATTTATTGAATTTTTAACCTGTTCCAGGCAAAATGTTTGAATATATACATAATTGTTTTGTTTTTGCTTAGTAATCTCTCTCTCTCTGTGGTTGTTTTTGTTTTGTTCTGGCTTTTTTGGTAATCTCTGTACCCAGTGTGGGGCTTGAACTCACAATCCCGAGATCAAGAGTTGCATGCTCCTCCAACTGAGCCAGCCAGGGGCCCTAAACTATTTGATTATATTTTTCATTCAATCCTATGATAAATCTTTGGGGGGGGCAATATTATTTTTCCCATTTTATAGATGGGAAAACCAAGGCTTAGAAAGGGTTAAGTAGGGGCGCCTGGGTGGCTCAGTGGGTTAAAGCCGCTGCCTTCGGCTCAGGTCATGATCCCAGGGTCCTGAGATCGAGCCCCGCATCAGGCTCTCTGCTCAGCAGGGCGCCTGCTTCCCTTCCTCTCTCTCTCTGCCTGCCTCTCTGCCTACTTGTGATCTCTGTCTGTCAAATAAATAAAATCTTTAAAAAAAAAAAAAAAAAGAAAAAAGAAAGGGTTAAGTAACATGGCCAAGATCATACATGTTAGCAAGTGACAGAGCTAGAATTCAAACCCAGGCCTTCTTCTACTGACTACACTATTCAAAGAACAGAGAGGGAAGTGATGTGTGAGCTGAGTTTTGAGGTACATTAGCTACAACTGGCACATGAGATAGGGAGAAGAGCATCCAAGCAAAGGAAACTGTATGGACACAGCCAGAGAGTGCGAGGTAACCGACAGCTTGTTCGAGTGACTGATGAGCATGGATAGTGGCAGGAGATGATACTACAGATAGGCAGGCATGATGTGGAAGGGCCTGTGTTCTAAGCCAAGAAGTGTGACCTTGATCCTAAAAGTGATGAAAAACAATCTACTATTTGTTTTTGTTCTTTTTAATTTTTTAAAAAATTTATTTATTTGCCAGAGATCACAAGTAGGCAGAGAAGCAGGCAGAGAGAGAGGAGGAAGCAGGCTCCCCGCTGAGCAGAGAGCCCGATTCGATTCAGGGCTCAATCCCAGGACCCTGGGATCATGACCTGAGCCAAAGGCAGAGGCTTTTACCCACTGAGCCACCCAGGCGCCCTGTTTTTGCTCCTTTTAAAGCCCAAACTTGGCAAAGCAGTAAAAACAAGTGTCCATTTAATCTTAATTTGCAAAATCCTTTTATGTGCCATTCTGATCTAGTCCATGAAGAAAATATACTTGAGTCTGCTTTCTTCCAATAGCCATGTAGTAAATACTGGTCTCTCCTCATGAATCTCCACCTTGCCGGCAGAAGAGAGCATAGGCTAGTAGAAAGAACAGCAGAGTCAGAAAGATTTGAGTTAATTACTTTGTTCTGCCATTTACTGGTTGTGGGATTTGGTACATCATTTAATATCTTTGGGTTCATTTCCTCATCTGTAAAATGAGGTTGAAATTAGATGGAAAGAATGCATATAAATATTTTAATGTTATAAATGCCTTTGTTAGCCATTCACAATGAATGCTAGCACTCCAAACTTGGCACAAAAAAACATCCAGCTTCAGGAAAAGGAAAAAAAAAAAAAACCCAACCAGGTGAAGGGAATGGAAGCCTAAGAGGGAAAATATTGGAGGCTGTCTTTAACTATGACATAATGATAACAGTAATTCCCCTCTCAAAGAGCTATTATAAAGACAAATGAGGGGGCGCTTGGGTGGCTCAGTCATTAAGCGTCTGCCTTCAGCTCAGGTCATGGTCCCAGAGTCCTGGGATCAAGTCCCACATTGGGCTCCTTGCTCAGCGGGAAGCCTGCTTCTCTCTCTCCCACTCCCTCTGCTTGTGTTCCCTCTCTCACTGTGTCTTTGTCAAATAAATAAATAAAATCTTAAAAAAAAAAAAAAGACAAATGAGTTAATACATAGAATGCATGCAGAACAGTCAGGTACTTAAGTATCTGATAAAAGTTAGCTATTATTGTTATTAATATATTAAAAGAAAAATGAGATATTCTTTAAGAACCTAAAAACAAGATAAATAGACCTGAGTCAGAAGGAGGATGTAAAAAGTTCCCTTAAAGAGGGAGGCTAACTGTTAGACCAGAGTAAGACTTTACTGAAGGTGTTAATGTGTTTCAAGAATGGGTCACTCAGGAAGGGAGTTGTCAGTAATGGAAGTAATGGAAGCAAAGTGACACAAGAGTCATGGAGGAAGGCCTACCTGAACACTGTCCAGGAAGGAGGAAGACCTGGCCCACATATTTTGAGTATTACTGTCCCACAGACATGGCCTTCCCAATAATAGATGGAGACATCAGGTTCTTTTAGCTTGAGAGCATTAAAAATTCCAGTTACATAACTACCTCCTCTTGTCCTGACTCTGTGCTCATTCAGCACCTTCTGATTACAACCTTCCAAAGCAGCTCACACTGAGAAGAGTGGTAGCCAGGTATGCCCCACTGTGAATTAAGAGGGGCACTGTAGTTTTATACATAACTTCTGTAAGCCTGGTCAACACAAGTCCTCCCTGAAAAGCGGAAGTTCCCTCCAAATGCTGAGAAAAATCAACTTGCTAAATGCACCTGACCAAGGTAGCTTCACCACAGTAATACCAGATCATGAGTCATCTTGGCAGACAGTAAGTCTCTCCCAGTATAGCCCAACCTTGCCATTGGCTCTCTCAAAGCGTCAGTGGTCAGTACCAAATAAATACCAGTTAAACAAGAGTCAGCACCATGCCCCACGGTACACATGCTTACCCTGGCATCATTCTGGCCTGAAAGGCATTAACAAAACTGTACCTTCTTCTCTTTCTCTAAAATCATTTGATCCTTTTGATGCAGCATCTTCTTCAGAGTGGCTACTTCTTCCTTCAGTTGGGCAATGATGACAAAGTGGTCAGTGCCTGGTGAGTCCAGAGCCAGGTCTGGGGAAAAGCTGAGTAGAAACATGGAGGGGCGAAAAAAATCATAACTTGGAGGGATAAACCTTTTTCTCCTTGAGGACATGCCATAGGCCACTTGACGACAAGCTCAAGGGTAAGAACAACTATTTGAATTCCCAGCAGTAAGCGCAATGCTCCACACATGCCAGATTCAATAGCATTTGCGAAACTGCACAGGCAAGGTGATCATGAGATAACTATACCAACCAAACCACAACCCATAGCATTTCTGCAGCATTCACATTCAAGGTGAAAGCAAATGCATTCTCCAAGAGTCAAGGACATTTTGTTTCAGGTGCACTGAAGATGCCCAATTATTTATGGGTGAAACAGTCAATTTTTTGTGACTAATTTCCCCAGAATCTGGATAAATGATCAATTGTAAGCCCATGTATTTTTCTTTTAAAGCTCCCCATAGAGCTCATCTTTTAGTTCTTTATTTTCTGCCCCAAAGCACTGTGATGTGGTACAGCTGCTAAGAAGCCGCTACACAGGGGTGCCTGGGTGGCTCAGTTAGTTTAGCATCTGTCGTTGGGCTCCCTGCTAGTGGGTGGGGGTCTGCTTCTCCCTCTCCTTCTGTCCGCCCCCGCCCCCGCCACTCTCTCTCTCTCAAATAAATAAAAAAAAAATTTTAAAAAAAAAAAAAAAAAAAAAATAAAAAATAAAAAGATGAAAGTTATTAAAAAGATTTTACTTATTGGGGCACCAGGTGGCTCATTTGGTTATGCGGCTGCCTTCAGCTCAGGTCATGATCCCAGGTTCCTGGGATCCAGTCCCAGGTAGGGCTCCTTGCTCAGTGGAGACCCTGCTTTTCCTTCTCCCTCTGCCTACAGCTCCCCCTGCTCGTGCTCTCTCTCACTCTGTCAAATAAATAAAATCTTAAAAAAAAAAAAAAAAAGATTTTATTTATTTGAGAGAGAAAGAGAGAAAACACAAGTAGGGGGAGGGGCAGAGGGAGAGGGAGAAGCAGACTCCCCACTGGGCAGGGAGCCGGATGTGGGGCTGGATCCTAGCACTCCGGGAAAAGACTCTAGCAAATTCCAGTCACACCACAACCTGGGTTTTTAACAGATTCTTCCCAGTAACAGCACTTGAGCACTCCATCTTTTCCAAGTGCCAGGTGAACTCTGTCCTCTTAGCAGAGTCTTCTAACTGGGCCCAGCTCCAGGGAATCTGTAACCCCCTGAAACTGTATGTACAATTCAATGTATACATACAAGGGATGGTTTCTAGGGTGAGGGTCCATAGCTTTCCCTGGTTGGTCAGAGAGGTCTTATACCCAAAACAAGTTAAGGAATCATCGCCATGAGAGTCAAATCCTGCCCTTCTCTAAAGACTTCCCAAAGAAAGCTCTTACTCTTCCCCAGGCAACCTTTAAAGTAAAACACAGACCTGTTTCTCCTAAGCACACACCGGAATGTTGATTCCCAGCTCCCTGCATCAATATGGCAGGGACTCTAGGTCCCCCTTGCTGTTGGTTCGTTCCTCCATCTTGAACTACATCTAACAAGCAGCATTCCTCCACACAGGCAGAAACTCTAAATGGCAAGCAGAATCACTGCACAGCCTCACAGTTCCCAAGTCAAACATTTCTATGGCTAGAAGACACAGTCCACTGATAAGAATATTCTCTCTTGGTCTACATGAAGCATGTCAGAAGAATGGACCTGTGCTTTCATGACTGATGAATACGCAGAATTACTGGGTGACAAAAAGTAAATACCATATAATAAAACAAGGCAAGCAGGAGAAAATACTGACAGAACCCATCAAAGTCTCCACCAGTCGCAATACCTGCCAAGGGACTGTCTTCCCTTGATCCAAAACATTTATGAAAGCCCATAACTAGAATGACAAATGAAACAGTGTCATGGGCTAATATAAATCTTGTGGTCCCCAAAGTTTCTAATGCTCTTCTCTACCTGCTTCTTAAGAGAGGATTATTCCCATTCCAATACATTGTTGACAAAACCAGTCATGTCTATCCTGTGTTAGGGCCTGACCTTTCTAACTCTCTAACTTCTGATTAATAAGAACTGCTGGAAATCAAATGAAAACAGATGGTTAGGTTAGCAAGGCAGAAAATTAGATCCAGTCTCTTCTCATATCTCCAATGACAGGGAACTCACTACACTTCTCTGAGAAGCTTCTTGTCTTTTCTAAACCTTTTAATATAAGAATAATCCTCCTCAGGGTAAGCCAAAACCTGCCTCCCTGTCATTCCCATCCTCTGGCCCTGGGTCTGTCCTCAAAGGCCACACAAAGTAAGTCTACTCTTTCAGGAATATTTCAAATGAAGAATGAAATAAAACTACAAGGAGAGGGGCCTGGCTGGCTCAGTCAGTTGAAGATGCAACTCTTGATCTGAGGGTCCTGAGTTCAAGAGCCATGCCGGGTGTAGAGATTACTTAAAAGTAAAATTTTGGGGTGCTTGGGTGGTTCAATTGGTTAAGCCTATGCCTTCGGCTCAGGTCATGATCTCTCAGGGTCCTGGGACCGAGCCCCACATCGGGCTCTCTGCTCAGCGGGGAGCCTGCTTCCCCCTCTCTCTCTGCCTGCCTCTCCGCCTACCTGTAATCTTTCTCTCTCTGTCAAATAAATTAAAAAAAAAAAAACCTTAAAAATAAAAGAGTAAAATCTTAAAAAAACAAAACAAAAACCTACGAGGAAAGGAAAAGAATGTCCTTTAGAAACAATAAACCACAAGGTTGCCTGGGCATCACCCATTACTGAGGATACTTTTTTATTACCAACAGAACAATAAATAAATATGATCAAAAAGTAGCTGGTGCATTTCCTCCGGGAAGGAAAGCTAGAAATCAACTCAGATTTTCCTCAAATTGGAAAGTTTTTGCTACAATTTCAACAAACTAGAAAATACAAGAGGGAGGCTATGAATTCTGCAGGATACTTAAAAAAAAACAACAAAAACCATTTTAGAAGTATAAAGCTATCTGAGGGGGCACCTGGGTGGCATAGTTGGTTGAGTATCTGATTTTGGCTGAGGTTGTGATCTCGGGGTTGTGAGATCAAGCCCCATGTCAGGCTCTGCACTCAGCACAGAGTCTGCTTAAGACTCTCTCTCCCTCTCCCTCTCCCCCTCCCCCCTCAAATAAATAAATAAAATCTTTTTAAAAATAAAAAATAAAATTATTTGAGAAAAGGTTTTATAAAAAACCTAGGTGTACCTAGGTGGCTCAGTTGGTTAAGCATCTGACTTCAGCTCAGGTCATGATCTCGGGGTCAAGATCAAGTCCCAAGTCAGGCTCCTTGCTCAGCAGGGAGTCTGCTTGTCTCTCTCTCCTTTTGCCCCTCCCCCTGTGGTCATGCACTCTCTCTCGCTCTGTCTCTTAAATAAAAAAATAAAATCTTGAAAAAACAAAACACAAAACCTAACCTAAAGTGATGCATTCTCTCTGCAGGATACAGAAGGCTAATGGAAAAGGAAAAAAGGAGAAAAAACATCAAATATGTGTCAAAACTTAACAACTAAGAGAGGAGAATGTGGTAGAACAGCAAGATGAATGGAAAGTTGTTAGAGAGCAGCCTGCAGAAGACAAGAGGGGATAACAATGAAAGGACAAGAGCATACATGGATATTTTAAACATGGGGCCAGGAAAATAGTCAACTGAAAATGGGGAAGCAGCTACAACAGATAGCTCACAAGTGAGACTTGCCAACATCTGGTCCAGAACTGAATTCAAGACAGATACTCAGGAAAAGAACTGTGGGTTTGCATGACATTACAAAAGGACCATCAAAAAAAGGCTTATCAGAATGTCTTCAAAGTGAGGGGTGACTAGGTGGCTCAGTTGGTTTGGCATCTAACTCTTGGTTTCTGCTCTGGTCATGATCTCATGGGTTGTGAGATCCAGCCCTGTGTGGGACTCCTACTCCGAGGGGAGTCTGCTCGAGATTCTCTCCCTCTGCCCCTACCCCTATGTGCATGCGCACACTCTCTCTCTAAAATAATCTTTTTTTAAAAAAATGTTTTTAGGACATCTGGGTGGCTCAGTCGGTTAAGCATCTGCCTTCAACTCAGGTCATGATCTCAGGGTCCTGGGATCGAGTTCTACATCGGGCTCCTTGCTCAACAGGGAAGCCTGCTTCTCTCTCTGCCTGCTGCTCCTCCTACTTGTGCTCTCTCTCTCTCAAATAAATAAATAAAATCTTAAATTAAAAAAAAAATAAAATAAATGTTTTCAAAGTAAAGGAAAGCAAGAAAGAACCTCACAAAAAGTAAAAAGAAAAGGAAAAAATGTAATTTAACTTATGCTATGAACTTTTAAAAGAAATGCAAACAAGTAGAATTGGTAGTTAGGACCAGTTAATGCACAAACATTCAAACACAACAGAACTTATACATGTACAAAAATAATTTTTGTGGAAGCAGAAAAATTTTCCTAAATTTTTTTAAAGATTTAACTTATTTATTTGACAGAGAGAGACATAGCGAGAGGGGGAACACAAGCTGGGGGAGTGGGAGAGAGAGAAGCAGGTTTCCCACTGAGCAGGGAGCCTGATGCGGGGCTCAATCCCAGGACCCTGGGATCAGGACCAAAGCCGAAGGCAGATGCTCAATGACTGAGCCACCCAGGCCCCCCAAAATTTTCCAAATTTTCAAGTTATTAGGGGAAGTTATTTAAAAAATTAGCATCAACATTTCAAGAAAGAAATGATCTTTTCAGATCTTTTCCAGAGGAGATTGTGCAAGACCGTGTTAGGATCAGCAATGAGAAAACAATCTTTACTGGTGACCAGATGCAAGAAAACACTCTAAACAGAAAACTTAGGTTTCACGTTGTATATTCATAGCAGTGGACAGCAAGAATAATGGCAGTATCTCGAGAACAAAATAACCTAAAAGAAGGTAAACTTTAAGGACTGGTTGGTTTAACTAAGGGTTATAAATGAATTTCTTCCAGGTCATTCAAATACAGTCTGGGTCATAAGTGAGCACAAAACAGAAATGATGCATCTAAAGGCTGTGGGTCTTGGCCTAGGCCTCTACAAAGGCAGGGAACTCAGAAAGGTTCACCCCTTGACATGGTTTTTGCAGGATCATGCATCCTGGCAGAGGTGATGGGACAATCTTCGTAATGGCCAGAATATCTGCTCAGAGAACAGTGAAGCTGACCAGAGAAGATGGTCTTTATGGTTCTTTCTCCCATATAATTTGAATATTTAAGTTAAACATTTCCAGAAGGTTCAGTTCAAAAAGTGTAAATCAGTGATACTGGCTGATAAAAAGACTCCTTGTAGGGGTGACTGGGTGGCTCAGTCGGTTAAGCACCTGACTCTTGGTTTTAGCTCAGATCATGATCTCATCGGTTGTGGGATGGAGTCCTGGGTTGGGCTCAGTGCAGAGTCTGCTTGGATATTCTCTCCCTCTGCCCCTCCCCACCTCACATACACTCTCTCTCAAATAAATCAATAAATCTTAAAAAAAAATTAGACACCTTGTAGAATCTAAAATCAAGTTAATAAAAAAGGTAACAGGAAAGAATAAATTTCATAGATGCTTTGTGCTCCCCTAAACGAAATTCAGTCCTGGTAAGCCTATGTGCTAGTCTACTCCCATACACACCACTGGCTGGGAGGGAAAACTGATACTAGGAGTTTTCAGAATGGACATGATTCTAAGAATTCTCGAGAAGAGTATGTCAGTGTCTCACTTCAGAATGCCTGGGCCTGCAGAAACGGGAAAATGGATGGCCCCAAGACTTGGCTGGAAACCAGCCACTGTACCAACACGGATGGGGCACTCTGGATTATTAGGACAAAGCAGCTTGCAAGAGGACACATCGGTCAGGAGAAGAGAAAGCAAAGAATAAAAATATATATATATTTTTAGCAAATAAACACAGGAGTATTTGGTATAAAATTGTAGCATTTAAACTTTATAAATGGCTTATATTGAGTAAAAATATGTATTTAGACAGGTTTAAGAGAAGTAAAAAATATCTGAATGCATCTCATTCATTGCTAATTCAGTATCTGCCTTGGGCTTTCTGCATACTAAGGAAGCGTGGATTACCCCTCACAGACTAAGCAATACTGCCTTAACTCTAACTGGTCTCTGTTCCACCTCTCAAGACCAACTCCTGTCCTGCCTGGAGGAGGCCACAGGCACAGATCATAGTGAAAAGCATACAGCTCCTGACTTCTTAGAATCAGTGTGGGGGAGTTATTTGTGGACTAGAGAATTCATGTGCTATTAAATCCAGTTATATGTGCTTGTCTTTTACTGACAGGATTAGTTATAAACAAACATCGACACCGCTTATTGGTAAGATACGGAGCGGCTAATGTAATGATGCTCAGAGGCTCAGTAACAACCCTGGATTGGGCCCAAGGCATACCCTGCAATGCCCTGCTTCCGGAACTGTATCAGGAGCTCAAACGGAAGCACGCACACACACCAACTGGCTTACCTGTCTCCATTGGTTGTGATTGACTCAAACTTGGATTTTTTCTTTGGGATTTCATTTTGAATTGAAGATGTAGAAAGTGTTTTCTGGCTTTGAATGCAAAAATAGAGAGACACACATTAGAAATCAAAGATTTATAAAACATCACAATAAAAGTTTGTTAAATGGGACCAACAGGATATGGCAGCTCTTCCATACAAGAGCTAATCGGTCTTGATTGGTTTTTGTTTTTTTTTTTTTTAAGATTTCAGTTATTCACTTGACAAAAGAGAGAGAAAGAAAGCACAACCAGGGGGAGCGGCAGGCAGAGGGAGCGGAAGAAGGAGGCCTCCCGCCGAGCAAGGAGCCCAATGTGGGGCTTGATCCCAGGACTCTGGGATCACTACCTGAGCTGAAGGCAGATACTCCGCCAACTGAGCCACCCAGGTGCCCCTATTCTTGCTTATTAAAATTGACCAATGTGTTGATTTCATAGGTCCTGAATGCATGGCTAGCTCTCTTTCATAGGCCCTCAAAATTCTTAGCTTTAACTAAATATTACCTGCTTTATTAATAACTATGGGAACAGAGTCAAAAAAATCTTAATAAGAAGAATAATTCATCTTATGGTTTAAAAAATACTTTCCTAAAAATCTTAATTTTTTAAATTTTAAGTAGGCTCCAACCCCAATGTAGGGCTCAAACTCATGACCCTGAGATCAAGAATCCCACACTCCACCAACTGAGCCAGCCAGTCACCCCTCTTGTCTTTTTGATAATAGCCATCCTAAAAGATGTGAGGTAATAGCTCATTGTGGTTTTGATGTGCATTTCCTTGATGTTAGCACCTTTGCATGTACCTACTGGCCATTTGTATGTCTTCTTTGGAAAAATGTCTATTCAGGTCCTTTGTCCATTTTTAAAATTGGATGATTGGCTTTTTTAATTATTGAGTTGTATTAACTCTTCATATATTTTCTATATTAACCCCTTATCAGATACATGGTTTGCAAATACTCCATCTTTCTTTTTTTTTTTTTTAAGATTTTTATTTATTTATTTGACAGAGAGAGAGATCACAAGTAGGCGAGAGGCAGGCAGAGGGAGAGGGAGAAGCAGGTTCCCGGCTGAGCAAAGAGCCCAATTTGGGGATCGATCCCAGGACCCTGAGATCATGACCTGAGCTGAAGGCACAGGCTTAACCCACTGAGCCACCCAGGCACCCCTACTCCATCCTACTTGAGGGCTTCTAGAGTTCTGTTCTCAGCCTCCAACTTGAATTACATCATCCAAGAGCATGGTTTTAACAACTACTTATCATATGGGTTGGAAATGGTATTCCCCAAATGCAGCTTCCTGGACCCTATCCTACATCCTAATGAATTAAAGTCTGGGGTGAAGCAGCAGGAATGCATACGTTATACCAACTTCTATTCCAACTGACTCTTCCTTGCTACCAATGGGCCACATCTGAACCTTTCTTCTCAGTTCTAGGCTAAGCTCCCAAAAAATAATTCTTCTTGATGCTGCAAACTCAACTTTTTATTTTTTTTTAATTTTTAAAAAAGATCTTATTTATTTGAGAGACAGACAGAGAGAGCACGAGTGGGTGGAGAAGCTGAGGGAGAGGGAGAAGCAGACATCCTGCTGAGCAGGGCACCAGACGCAGGGCTCCATCCCAGGATTTGAGATCAGGACCTGAGCTGAAGGCAGATACTTAACCAAGTGAGCCACCCAGGCACCCCACAAACTCAACTTTTAAAAACTGAACTTCTCTTCTTCCTATATTCTCTCTCAGTTAAGAATCTACCTATTCACCCAAGTAAGAAACCTGAGAATTATCCCTTACTCACCCAGTTCCTGCTCTTCTACCTGTTCATCAAATTATCTAAATTTCTCATAATTCTCCCTCTAAACTATCTTCCTGAATCTGCTTCTTTGATCTCCGGTGCCATGGCCTCAGTTGAGATTCTAATATTAATATCTCTTATCGTGGACTCATATGAAAAGCTTCTTAACTAGCCCCCAGTCTCTTTTTCTTCCAGTGTATTCTCCACAATAATCAGGGTTAATTTTTTTTAAGGACGCCAGGCTCAAGTTCATGCTCCTGTCTGCAAAACCCACTTTTCTCCCATTTCCTGGCTCTCGAACATAAGGTCCAGCAACATAAAAGGACCTGTAGTTCCCCAGGGTTCCATGTGGTCTCACACCCTCCATATCTCAGCAAATGCTATTCCCTCAGCCTAGGAAGCCTCTGCCCATTCCCTCTGTGAGGATTCCAACTCATCCTAAGCTCCAGGTCTAACACCAGCTCTCTTCTCCGAGGTTCTCTTGCCTGACTTTCCAAGGTAGTTAATTACTACTGCCTCTCATGCCTGTATCTTGATGTTTCTCATGCTCATCGAATTATATTGCAATGATTGGATTACAGATCTGTCTTCCCTACCAGACTGCATACTCTCGATGAGCAGCTTGATTCTTGTATTCATCTCTGCCTTCCTAGCAGAGTCGCTGGCCCATGAGAGTATTTAATAATGTTTGCTAAATGAACAAAATCATAATGGTAACAGTAACAAACAGTAACTAAAATATAGTGAATGGTTCCTACATGCCAGTTATAAAACTAATCACTATGCATGCACTATATAATTTATCTTCACAACAATTCCATGAGGTAATACTATTATTTCCCTATTTTAAAGATGAAAAAAGGTTGCCCAAGATCCCACACAGAGAACCTGACAGAGCTGGGATTCAATCCAGACCCAGAACTCTTAACAACACTTCAGATACTCTGAGAGAAAGCTAAGGCTACAATGAAAGGACGTCTTTTTGACTAGATCCCACCAGGACAAACCTAGAACATCTATCAACCTCCTGATCAAATATGCATAAAAATGCTGCATGCCTCAGAAAGTGAAATGTCCAAACTTCTAAGGAGACAGCCCACTCCAAAGGTGAGGAGAACATTACAGGGAAAGTTCCACAAACTTTTCAGATAGTACAAACGAAGTCAGGAAATCCTGATACCTTACGGAAATCTCTCCGGCACTTGGAAGATATACGAACTGTAAAATGTGGTAGAGGCTAGCAACTAGAGAGAGAAGACCAGGAAAATGTATACTAAATGGTATCTCCCGTGGCTAATTGTGTATTCTATCGGACCAACCAGTACTTCCAGTCCTATCTTACGCATCTTGGGGTTACCTGTTATAGTGGCTGCCACCACTCAGTCGACTATACTGTTCCTTCTCCTGGTGGCTGGCACGGGAAGAGCTGCTCAGATGTTTCCTCTGCTCTTTGGTCTTCTGAAGGACTCGTTTGTATGAAAGTGTACAAAGCCAGCACAGCAATTTCCCATCTACCTGAAAGACAAGGAGACAAAGATAAAGAAAAGAGAATGTAGTACATGGGTACTACAGAATATAGGTACTGGGAGCTAGAACCTCTGGGTTAAGTCCCAATTCTGCCATTTGTGAGGTGTGTGAACTTAGGCAAGTCTTCTACCTCAACTAAATCTCCCTGTGTCCTGTGAAGCAGCTACTGTTGTTTCCCACTGGAAAGAGGAAACTGATGCATAATAAGATTAAGTAACTTGCCCAGGATCATTCAGCTAACCCAGGTCTATGGGACTGCGAGGCTTATACTCCAACTATTATTACATGCTACTTCCTGATTCCGAGGTCAGCTTCTCCAGTATCTTGATTCAGGGAAAATGTGCTCTCACTGGCAGGCAGGAGTATTCTGGTCACTGGAGAGTTACATCCTCCCATTGTAAATTAATGAAATTTGGTTAGTAAGAGTTAGCTCTTGTGAGCCTAAGCATCTCCAAAAAGTAGCTCTGGACCCTGAAAAAGTTTCTGTACTGTATTCTTTCATTAAAAGAATATTTGTTGGGAGTGCCTGGGTGGCTCAGTGGGTTAAAGCCTCTGCCTTCGGCTCAGGTCATGATCCCAGGGTCCTGGGATTGAGCCCCACGTCGGGTTTCTGTTCTGCAGGGAGCCTGCTTCATCCTCTCTCTCTCTGCCTGCCTCTCTGCCTACTTGTGATCTCTCTCTGTCAAATAAATAAGTAACTTTAAAAAAAAAAAAAAGAGTATTTATTGAAGAGAACAAATTGGTAGTTGCCAGAGGTAGGGAGTGGAGGGTAGGTAAAATGGGTAAAAGTAGTCAAAAGGTATAAACCTCTAGTTATAAAATAAACCAGTCACAGGGATATAATGTACAGTATGATGATTACAGTTAATAATACTACACTGCATATTTGAAAGTTGCTAAGAGTGTAAATCTTTTTTTTTTCTAAAATTTTATTTATTTATTTGACAGAGAGAGAGAAAGAGAGATCACAAGTAGGCAGAGAGGCAGGCAGAGAGAGGGGGAAGCAGGCTCACCGCTGAGCAGAGAGCCCGATGTGGGACTCACTCGATCCCAGGACCCTGAGATCATGACCTGAGCCGAAGGCAGAGGCTTAACCCACTGAGCCACCCAGGCGCCCCAAGAGTGTAAATCTTAAAAGTTCTTGTCACAAGAAAAAGAATTTTGTTAACTGTACATAATGATGGATGTTAACTGTATTTACTGCTGATGACTTTCCAATATACACAAATACCTAATCATTATGCTGTACATATGAAACTAATATAAGGTATGCTACACCTCAATTTAAAAAGATACATAAAATAATCACTTTTTCAGTCACCTTTTTTTTTTTTAAGATTTTATTTATTTATTTGACAGACAGAGATTACAAGTAGGCAGAGAGGCAGGCAGAGAGAGAGGAGGAAGCAGGCTCCCCGCTGAGCAAAGAGCCCGATGTGGGGCTCGATCCCAGGACCCTGGAATCATGACCTGAGCTGAAGGCAGAGGCTTTAACCCACTGAGCCACCCAGGCGCCCCTCAGTCACCTTTAAAACAGTAGAAAATGAGAAGTAAACTTTTTCTCAGTAAGTAACAGCAAGCTGGAGATATATTTCAGACTAATATTTTGGCCATATTTGGTAAAACAAAAGAGAAAGGAAATATTTCTCAATAAAGTATAACTCTTATCAATCTAAATATATACATATACACTTATGTAACATATATATTATATATACATACACACATATATTTTATATATATATATATATATTATAATATTATAATATTAGAGGGGACACCTACTATATGCCAGGCCACTGGAAATGTGGCAAAGTACAAGACAGAGCTCATGTTCTAGTGGAGGTTGACAAACATATAAGCAAATAAACATTAATTTCTCACAATGTTACATGCTATGAAGACAATAAAACAGGGTAATATGATAAGGGGTGAGTGAGTGAGTTAGTAAAGGGTCTGTGTGAAGAGGAGGCATCTGAGCGTGAGAAACCAGTTAAAGATGCTTTGGAGAAGGATGTATTAGGCAAAACGACAGTTAGCACAAAGGTGGGAATGACACAGGCATGTCTAAAGGGCTGAAAGGCAGCCAACGTGGCTGAAACAAGGTGAGGGGCGGGAGGTGTGAGGTCAGATGAGTCTGAGAGGCAGGTGTGGGCCATGCAGGCCAAGGAAGGGGTCTGGGTTTTATTCTAAGTGCAGCTGGAAGCCACTGGGTTTTAAACAGAACAGATCTAAACCACTTTTATCCTACCAACACCCCATCCCTCCACATAGGGCTCTCTTCCATGTCATCTTGTAATTTTTTAACTTCAACACATAAAAACACTTAGAGAGTCAGACAGTGAAACTGGTCATGCATCCTGCTTAAGTCACAATCTTTCCTTTACAGAATTCAATAGACTTTTGCCAGTCATCACTTCATTTACATGGGATACTGATCACTGTAATTCAGATTTTCATGAAATATTAACTTATGGGGCGCCTGGGTGGCTCAGTGGGTTAAAGCCTCTGCTTTCGGCTCGGGTTGTGATCCCAGGGTCCTGGATTGAGCCCTGCATCGGGCTCTCTGCTCGGCGGGGAGCCTGCTTCCCTTCCTCTCTCTCTGCCTGCCTCTGCCTACTTGTGATCTCTGTCAAATAAATAAAATCTTTAAAAAAAAAAAAAAAGAAAGAAATACTAACTCATGAGATACTAGAATACAATGCTCCGGGGGTACCTGACTGGCTCAGTCAAAAGAACATGCAACTGTTGATCTTGGGAGTCATGAGTTCGGGCCCTGCCTTGGGTGTAGAGATCACTTACATAAACAATCTTAAAAAAATATATATGCTATTTTTTAAAAAAAGAGAATAAAATGGTCCACATTTAGTAAAAGAAGAAAATAAAGGCTAAAAATCTTCAAGGTCAATAACATCTAGAAGAGGAACTGAGAATTCTTTTTTCTGTCTTTTTTTTTTTTAAAGTAAAGTAGGCTCCATGTCTAGTGCCGAGTCCAAGTCAGGGCTTGAACTCACAACCCTGAGATGAAGAGTCGGATGCTTAAGTGACTAAGCCACCCAGGAGCCCCCCCACCCACCTTTTTTTTTTGGTAAGATTTTCTTTTTAAGTAATCTCTGCACCCAACATGGGGCTCAAACCCACAACCCCAAGATCCAGAGTCATATGGTCCCACCCACTATGCCCAGCAGGCGCCCCTTGTTTATGTCTTTTTGACATAAGTGACCCACCTTAATTTCTCTGAAAGAAAAAAAAATCAACAAAAACACAGAGCTTTACCTTCTTTCTGTCATCTTTCCTGTCAAATGCGCACTGCTGCTTACACTGTTCACACGAATATGGTGGTCCATACTTCTTCTCTGAATTCGTGCAGCGCTGGCATTTGTTGCCAATAAACGCTGCAATTATGTTGCAGTACTGACAAGGTTTGGGCTTAAAGAGAGAAAAAGTGTCAACTGAGTATATTATAAAATACCAGTGCATTTTTTAAAGCAACCATTCCTATTACATCGTTCGTTAGTCACTGTAAAAATGTATTCCCAACTTCATAAATTTCCTTCTACACCAATCGAATGAAGCCCAATTCCCAACACTATGTAAGGTGTTTTTCTGCACAACACTACTGATTTTAAAACAAATAAATGAACAAATAACAAAAGCCCATTTGTGTATATGCTGGGACTTCTGTGAGAAATTCAACAGAACCAGTACTTTGAAGAAACCAGCAAGTGCTTCCAAATTTCTCAAAAGACCTCTTTGTCATTATCACTGTATCACAGGCTAGGAGATTCCCTGCAAGAACATAATATCCAGAACCCTAATACTGAGAGACAAAAAAAAAAAAATCCATTCATCCAAATGAAGTCAAATGCTACCAAAGAGGTCCCATCATAGGATCCATCTTTCTCCTCCTCTTTTCACACTGGTTACTGAAGTTCTCAAGGAAAGTTATGACAATCCTGCCATCATGACCATAAACACAGACCTTCTCAATACTATTAGCTAAGCTCGAAAGCTCAAATACTGGATAAAGTTCACTGAGAAAGTATTTACACATAAGAAGTTCTAATAAAAATATAGTAATTACATTAATAATCCACAGAATATAAGGTTCCTAGGACCTGAGTACTCACTGTTAGGTACAGAGAAACCCTACTTACCGTTCCATATAACTGCACATTCTGAGCGCATTTCTTGCATATTGTATTGGTTTTACTGTTAAGGAAAAAAGACACACAGGGCTTTTATAAGAAAAAACTTGTTTTACTTACAACATCTGAAAATTGGTCTCTCCTTAAGCCCACAGAATTTGCTCATTGCTCAGTGCCAAGGTGATATGTGGTCTGGATACTTGGCTAACTGAAGGCTGAGTATCTGGCCACTAACTCTTTTTTAATTATTTTGTGGTTATTAATTTTATTAGCTCAGACTAAATGAGACTTTAGAGAGTGAGTTATTTCTGATTATCACATCTCAAAGTATCACTAACCAAAATTATCAAATATGGACAGGACCCTCAAAAAAATATTAGATTAGATTGAAATGCACTCACAGTAATTCCTCAATTCGGATGAACATATGAGAAACCTGAGGTGAGAAATGAAGTATATGTGTTTGGAATACAAACTTAAGAGACTCTATCCATGTTGACTATATTCTGTCTACACTCTCCTGTATAGGTAAAAGCATACGAAAATCCCAGATGTTGGGCACATGGGTGGCTCAGTTGTTAGGCATCTGCCTTCAGCTTGGGTCATGATCCCAGGGTCCTGGGATCAAGTCCCAAGCCCTGCATGGATAGAGCCCCGTATCCGGGCTCCCTGCTCAGAGGGAACCTGCTTCCCCTCTCCTAATCCCCCTGCTTGTGTCCCCTCTCTCACTGTCTCTGTGAAATAAATCAATAAAAATCTTAAAAAAAAAAAAAAAAAAAGAAAGAAAGAAGGAAAGAAAAAAGAAAATCCTAGATGTGGGGAAATAGATGGTATGACCAAGTTTTTTAAAAAATATTTTATTTATTTATTTGAGAGAGACAGTGAGAGAGAGCATGAGAGACAAGAAGGTCAGAGGGAGAAGCAGACTCCCTGTGGAGCTGGGAGCCCAATGCGGGACTCAATCCCGGGACTCTGGGATCATGACAGGAGCTGAAGGCAGTTGCTTAACCAACTGAGCCACCCAGGCACCCATGACCAAATATTTTATCAACACTTCCAATTTCTCTAAGAACTAAGCACTGACAAAAATAAAAACATCTTCTGTCTTGTGAAGGTCCAGAGGTCATAATATTACCTAAATATCTAAACTGATAAACTACCATGGGGGAATAAAACCATCTTCAAATAAAGTTTAATTCTTCACAAAGGGAGGTACAAATAAATGCTTGATGTGGAAGAATAAACTATATTCTGGGGCTGAAAATAAAATCACATAAAAATCCAGCCTAGGGGCACCTGGGTGGCTCAGTCAGTTAAGTGGCTGCCTTCGGCTCAGGTCATGATCCCAGAATCCTGGGATCAAGCCCCACATTGCACTCCCTGCTCAGCAGGGAGCCTACTTCTCTCTCTCCCTCTGCTTGCTGCTCCTCCTGCTTGTGTTCTCTGTCAAAAAAATAAATGAAATCTTAAAAAAAAAAAAAAAAATCCAGCCTATTAGCCTTTGTGATTATTTTCTCATAGAGTCCTACAAAAGTGACCATAAAGTTAAAACAAAGAGAAGTCTCAAAGTAGAAACATTTAAATTAAAAATGGAATATTCAAACAAAATATTTTCCAGGGCAATTTTCTGCCGTTTTAAAGAGGCAGTACAAGAAGTGAGGTGAAGGGCACCTGGGTGGCTCAGTGGGTTAAAGCCTCTGACTTTGGCTCAGGTCAGGATCCCAGGGTCCTGGGATTGAGCCCTGCATGGGGCTCTCTGCTCAGCAAGGAGGCTGCTTCCCTTCCTCTCTCTTTCTGCCTGCCTCTCTGCCTACTTGTGATCTCTTTCTGTCAAATAAATAAATAAAAATTTTTTTTTAAAAAAGTGAGATTAAAAATAAAGTAAGGTGCATTTATTTTTTTTTTAAAGATTTTATTTATTTATTTGTCAGAGAGAGAGAGGGAGAGAGAGCGAGCACAGGCAGGCAGAGTGGCAGGCAGAGGGAGAGGGAGAGGGAGAAGCAGGCTCCCTGCCGAGCAAGGAGCCCGATGTGGGACTCGATCCCAGGACGCTGGGATCATGACCTGAGCCGAAGGCAGCTGCTTAACCAACTGAGCCATCCAGGCATCCCGGTAAGGTGCATTTAAAGGAAACTTTTTCAGAAAGAGGCTTCACATCAGCAATTCTGTGATACTGAACATTTTGGTTTATGTTTAGATTTATTACTGAAGAAGTGGGATACACACACACACATACACACACACACACACACAAATGTTCCTGACAACTTAGAAAACATACAAAGAAAAACTATTTCTATGATCCATCTTGAACCAATTTTTTTTAAAGATTTATTTATTTGAGAAAGAGAGAAAAAGCACGAGGAGGGTAAGAGGCAGAGGGAGAAGCAGATTCCCCACTAAGCTCAGGGTCCGATGCAGATCTTGATCCCAGGACTTAGGGATCATGACCCAAGTCAAAGGCAGACACTCAACCAACTGAGCCACCCAGGTGCCCCTCAATCAATTTTTTTTTAAGATTTAATTTTTTTAAGTAATCTCTACATCCAACATGGGGCTTGAATTTACAACCCCAAGATTAAGAGTCACATGGTCCACGGACTAAGTCAACCAGGCATCCCCATCTTCAATCAATTTTTATGTGTGGTGCGAATGAAGGGTCAAACTTCATTATCTCCCCCCCCACACCCATCTTGAATAATTCAAGATGGATCATAGACCCAAATGTAAAAGCTAAAACATAATGCTTCTGGAGAATGTTTTATATGTTTCCATTTCTACTTCTATTTCTATGATCTGTTTCCACAGATCAGTGGTGGAAAGGAAAATCAAAACAGTAGTGTGCGGGAGACAAGAAGGGTAGGGACTGAGCGGGATGAGGCATGAGAGGACTCTCTGTGGTGATGGTAATGTTCTATGTTTTGCAAGGGGTTTGGGGTTATACAGATGTACATAGTCTGCAAAACTCATCAAATGACGTACTTAAGATTCAAGCATTCAGTGTACACAAAATTCACCTCTAAAAAAATAAAGGACCGTAAACAAATGTTGAACTTTGTTAACAATATGCCTGCTTAACTGTTTAGGATCAAATATAGTGATGTCCACAACTTTAAAGTAAGATGGATCATAGATGCAAATATAGTAAATGTAAATTGTAGAATCCAAGTGGATATATGAGTGTTTACTGTCTAATTCTTTCAACCATTTCTGGTTTGGAAATATCCATAATAAAATATTGGGGAAAATGTTCCTAGAACTGAAATAAGACTGATTAAAATTAGGTTTCTAGGTCTATGTGTGAGCTTGCAAACAGACCCCACCCTGCTTGAAGAAACTATTACAGCTATAGTCCCACAGAACTTACACCAATAAGCTACTTTGCTACTATTGAAAGTCTCCCAAAAATGTGTGTTTACTGACACCTAAATGTTTTTCACATTTAAAAAAAAAATGAGATTTACATAAGGCAAGTGAGTTTCAAATGTGACTAGGGCTAATAAACCCTTATCAGAATTATCACATTTCCAAAAGTATCTTCTTTTGGATTATAAATTCTTGACACTCTGAATACAAACATACTGAAACACGAGGTTCATTGTTTTACCGTTGTGGTTTCTTCGTGTCATAAAGATTTACAAACACAATATAAAACGACCAAGGATCTGAAAAAAAAAGTAACTTTAAAAATTTAAGCAATCAATGGATAACTAGGGAATGATACGTGTGTTTTGTATTTGTCAATGTGTTATTAAAAAAACACAGAATCTGTGTATAATGCACTCAATTACAGATCTGTAACGTGAAAAGCAATTAACTGTCGATTTTAAGAGGAAAAGCCTATCAACATCTTCCACGGTCAACAAAAACTGTACCTCTCCTGCTGGTACTCAGTTCTACAGTAGGTGCACTTCACAACAGGGTGTGCAATCCGACATTCCTGAAATGAAATGAGGATATAATTTTAAAAGGCAGTCAGAAGTGGAAATAGCCTTCAGTAGGAGGCAGAAGACCTAGGTACTATTCCCAGCATAGCCACTGTGCTTGAGTGAGTCACTTGAACTTTCTGGGCCTTATTTTTCTCTTCTGTAATACTGGCATCACCGGCCTGCACTGATGTGAGAATTAAGAAGGAATTTATAAGGAACTAGTCATAAATTTTAAAACAAAGTATGTATGAATAAGGCTCAGACTGGAAATCGAAAGCCCTGGATTCTGGTTCTAGTTCTGCCACTTCCACCGTTTAATTTTCGAGCAGGTTCACTTGGAAAATGAAAATGCTAAATTAAAATCATTATTGCTTACCTATATGAAACTTCCTTAAAAGATATATATGTATATAAATATCTCAAACATCTGAGCTCTTTCCTACAGAGTTAACAGAGTGACAAGTCAGGGCCATTTGAGGCAACGGCGACATACAGTTATGAGTTACCCATATTAGAGGCACAAACTGAATTATCTGGGAATATCGCAAAATCCGTCCCAGGCCAGCTTGGTGACTTTTAACTGTCACCTCACAGCACTTCTATTAACTTAAATAGGCAAAGCAGATGAAGCAACTCAAACGAAAAAAAGAACTTGGAACTTCAGGAGTAAAAACTGAACAGTAGCTGGTTAGGGCCGGGACCGAAGGTCACCAACTGGGTGCTGAAAAATCCTTTTGCTTCCTGCGCTTAATTGTAGGGCTTTTCTATAAAGCCGCGCGCCACCTCCGACTTTCAGACTGGCTGGAAAGTGCCCGTGAGGCGCCCGGAGTTGGGAGACTCTCCTCACAGGCAGCACCCAACTCTGGAGTTCAGTCCCAGGCGGGGCAGGGGGTCCCTCAGTCTGCAACCAACGGCGGGGAAGCCAGCCCAGGAGGGATCTCGGTGTCGGTGCGTCTGGTTGGGGGCAAGCAGGGGACCCACTGTCCCCTCCCCTGACCTCAAGGGGTCCGAGAACAATCCCTCGCGGTTGCTAAGCACCCGGACACGCCGGCCGCGGGGGCCTGGACTGAGCCCGGGACTCCCCCACGTGCCCCGCTGGCCCCCAGCGGAGGGGGTGAGGCGCCTTGGCTGGGCGGGCCTGCCACGCCCTGCCCGGCGGACCCCGCCGAGCGGCCCCGCAGAACAGGGGGCTCCGGGCCGCGCCTCTAGCGTCCCAGTTCCCGGCCGCCGCCCCAGCCCGCGCACCTTGCACAGCTGCTGCCCCTGAGACAGCGCCTCGAAGGGGAAGCGCTGGTGGCACTTGGTGCAGGCGTAGAGCGCCGCCATGTCCGGCCCGGCCGTGCTCACCGGCCAGCCGGCCCGGCCCGCCGCTTTATCTGACAGTCTGAGGGACAAGCTGGCGGCGGCGGCGGCAGCAGGCTGCGGGCTGCGCAAGGCGGGCGGGCCGGCGAGTGCGGGCGGATCAAGGCGGGCGTGGCGGCGCTGGTCGCCCGTTCACTGGTTCATGTCGACGTCCATCAAGCACGAAGGGGCGGAACACAGAGCTTATGACAACTCTGATTCGGTCTGGACTGGAGTACGCCACTTATGACGCTCGCTGCCTCGATTATGTAAAGCGCAGTCACGCGGGGGCGCCACTAGGAGGTACCATCTCCCGCCCGGCACCTCGGAAGTGCCCAGACCCCTCCTACTTCGCTCTTTGTTCCCGCCCTCGCTCCGCCTCTCCCCGGCCGCGGTGGCAACGGCGCCTCTCGCGATATCTCTGCGGAGTTGTGATGTTTTGGTTTCCATGGAGCTGCCTTCTGGGAGCAGGAGGGGCGCGGTTGGGCTAAGAGCTGGGCATTGTTGAACTAGAACTCGCACAAGATCCCGAGCCTGAAAAAGGTGGGGGGCTTGTGAAAGAACACCACCATCGTCGGGACAGGAGGGGCCCACACAGGGAGAGAAAAGAGGAAACCATGAGAGACAACCTAAGAGGAGTGTCCTCTGTCAGAGATCCCTAAAAGGGGGGTAACCCGGGGATCCTTGACCTCCGAGAGAACGCGGGAAACCTCAGAAAGAGGACCCCTGTGTGGAGGAAGAAGGCTGCTAGAGTGATGACAGCCCCCACAGGACGTTGTAGAAGAATACTAAGGCGAGGCCCTCTGCCCCTCAGAGACCTCCTGCTCTGGTGGCCTCCCTCAGAGTGGGATACATTTGGCCTGAGGCCTATTTCCTACTTTGTGTTCCCCAGTTGCACCCCCAGCTTCTCTTGCAACCACCTGAGGTCTCCTGGCTGACCTTGCCCCCCACCATCCCAAGGCGAGCCACATCCTCCTGGATACTCGGCCTCTCTTCAGTTCTCAGCTTGGCACATATAGGGGCCCCCAAGGAAATATGAACTTCTTGTTCTTGACACTTTGGCAAAGTGTCCTGCAGTGCTAACCTTTCCAAGTTCCTGCCCTATAGCTGCTCTTGGCTTTAGATTATTTCAGATTCTGCCAACCACCTATATAATATACAGTCCTAATCGCAGCTTTATTTCAACGTGCCTTTTTTATAATTGAGGATGCTCTTAGGGTTTCTACATTCCTGGCCCAACAAAATTGACCTCTTAAACCCAAATCCAGCCCCCTTCTTGGGAGTTTACCCAAAGATGTGTGTTAATCAAAGGTTTAGGCTCTGGGGTCAGAACGCTAGGGTTCAAAATTACTGTTCCACATTTCCTAGCTATGTGATGTGACCTTGGATTTATCACTGAACTTCTCAGAACGTCACTTTCCCCAGCTGTACAGCTGGAACATTATGAGGATCAGAAACAGTACAGAACAGTACATGAAGGATAATGGGGGAAACTACGTAGTAAGTAGGAGTTTTACTTTGGAATGATGGAAATATTTTGGAACTAGGTAGAGGTAGCGGCTGCATAACACTGTGAATGTACTACTGCCCTTGAATTGTTCACTTTAAAATGGCAGGTTTTGGGACACCTGGGTGGCTCAGTGGGTTAAGCCACTGCTCAGGTCATGATCTCAGGGTCCTGGGATCTAGTGGACATCGGCTCTCTGCTCAGCAGGGAGCCTGCTCCCCGCCCCCCCCACCTGCCTCTCTGCCTACTTGTGATCTCTCTGTTCAATAAATAAAAATCTTAAAAAAAAAAAAAAGAAAACTTCACAACTTTAAAATGGCAGATTTTGTATTATGTGAATTTCACCTCAAATCATTAAAAAAAAAAGATGTAGGTTTGGGAGATAGACTGTGTGGCTTTGAATCCCAGCTCTATCACTTAGAAGCTGTATTATTTTGGGCATATTAAACACAAGATAAACAAAACAAGAAACAGTGAAAACAGTAGATGGAACTTGGTACACTAGGTAAATGTTCATTATTAGAAGAAAAAAACTGTGTTTCTTACTAGGGAGACGCTGGTGCCTTGGATCATGTAAATACAGCCTCCCTTTTACTCACATCTATAACCCCACACTGGAGTATGAGTCTCTCTGTGTTCCAGTTCTGGTCTACAGTGTATTACTTACCAGCTTTCTAATTGCCTATTTACACATTTTTCATCCACCAGACTATGGCATTATGGAATATAAGGACCATATCTAGGTCATTTCTGTATCCTCTTTATCCAGTGCCAGGGTGAATTAATCCATTCTTCCAACAGATCTTTATTCAGTGTTCACTATGTACCAGGCTCTGGCTTAGGCATTGGGGATGCACTGGTGTGGAAAACCAATGTGAATCCTGTCCTTGTGAAGCCGAAAGCCTAATAACAAAGACAGCTGAACAGCAAGGACTGCATGATGAGGCGTACCGCAGGGATAAAGAAGAGTGTTAGGATACGGGAGAAGGTAAGGGGAATCACCTGAGTAGAGAAGATCAGGGGATAATTTTCTGAGGAGGTACCAAGACATGAAGGTCAGGAAGACCTTAGCTATTTGACTTAGCCAAGAAAGATCTGGGCAGAGGGAAAGGTGAAGATCTCGCGGCAGAATAGAACTGGGCCTGTACAAGAATGAAGAAGCCACTATACCTGGAGCTTAGTGGGACGGAGGCAAGTAGAGAGGTCGGCAGGGCTTGGCTGGGGCCAGATGTATAGAATCTGTAGACCCTGATATGGACATGGATTTTTTTTTCAAAGCACAATGTCTGGAGTATAATGGGGAATAAGCCATTGGCAGTTTTAAGTACACAAGGGACAGATTTGTATTTTTTAAGATTTGGGCTGGCTGCTATGAAGAAAATAGACTGTAGGGGGGCCAACATAAATGCCCAGAGACGGGAGGAGGCTATTGCAGTCATCCAGGTGAGAGGTGGCGATTAAAATGTTGCAGTGAGAGAAGTGGAGAGATACAAGATATATTTTGGAGAAAGAGTCAACAGGATTTAGGGATGGATTGGATTTAGGAGGTGGTAAGGGAAAGGAAGAAATGATGATCAATGTACCCAGTTATGTGGATGGTGGTATCATTTCCAGCAAAAGGGAAGATAAGAGGGACAGGTTTCAGAGACAAAATGAAGCGTTTTATTTTTGACATACAGGCATGCATCATTTTATTGAGCTTGGCTTTATTGCACTTTGCAGATATTGCATTTTTACAAATTGAACGTTTATGGCAACACTTTGTCAAGCAAGTCTGTATGCACCATTTTTCCAACATTTGTTTACTTCTTGTCTCTGTGTCACATTTCGGTAATTCTCACAATATTTCAAATCTTTTCATTATTATACTTGTTACAGTGGTCTGTGATCAGCAATCTTTGATGTTATTATTGTAATTGTTTTGGGCGCCACAAATGACATTCATATAAGAGGGTAAATTTGATTAATAAATGCGAGTGTGATTTTTTTTTAAGATTTTTATTTGTCAGAGAGAGAGTGAGCACAAGCAGAGGGAGCATCAGGCAGAGTGAGAAGAAGGCTCCCCACTGAGCAAGGAGCCCCATGTGGAACTCGATCCCAGAACACTGGGATCATGACCTGAGCAGAGGCAGACACTTAACCAACTGAGCCACCCTGGTGGCCCGTGTGTGTGTTTTTTTTTTAAGATTTTATTTATTTTTTTGACACAGAGAGAGAGAGAGAGATCACAAGTAGGCAGAGAAGCAGGCAGAGAGAGAGGGGGAAGCAGGCTCCCCCCTGAGCAGAGAGCCCAACTTGGGGCTCGGTCCCAGGACCCTGAGATTAGGACCCGAGCTGAAGGCAGAGGCATAACCCACTGAGCCACCTAGGTGCCCCTGTTTTTTTTGTTTTTTTTTTAAGTAGGCTCCATACCCAGCATGGAACCCCATGCAGAGTTTCAACCTGTGACTCTGAGATCAAGACTTGAGCTAAGATCAGAGTCAGACACTTAACCGACTGAACCACCCAAGGACCCCAATAAATGTGTGTTCTGACTACACTATGAACCGGCTGTTCCCTCATCCTCTCCTAAGGCCTCCCCGTTCCCTGAGACACAGAGAACAATGTTGGAATTGTCCAATTTATAACCCTACAATGGCCTCTAAGTGTTCAAGTGAAAGGAAGAGCCAAATGTCTCTCACTTTAAATCAAAAGCTAGAAATTATTGAGCTTAGTGAGGAAGGCATGTCAAAAGCTGAAACGGGCTGAAAGCTAGCCTCTTGTGCCAGAGAGCCAGGTTGTAAATGTAAATGCAAGTTTCAGTTCTTTTTTTTTTTTTTAAGATTTATTTATTTGTTTGACAGAGAGAGAGAGAGAGAGAGAGAGCGAGAGCAGGAACACAAGCAGAGGAAATGGGAGGGGGAGAAGCAGACTTCCTGCCTGAGCAGGGAGCTCGACTTGGGGCTCGATCCCACTACTCTGGGATCAGGACCAGAGTCAAAGGCAGATGCCTAAAGACCGAGCCACCCAGGTGCCCCACAGTTTCAGTTCTTAAAGGAAATTAATAGTGCTACTCCAATGAACACATGAATAATAATAAAGCAAAATAGTCTTATTGCTGATATAAAGTTCAAGTGTTCTGGATAAATGATAAAAGCCATCACAACATTCCTTTAAGCCAAAGCCTAATGCAGAGCAAGGCCCTAACTCTCTTCAGTTCTGTGAAGGCTGAGAGAGGGGAGGAAGCTGCAGAAGGAAAGTCTGAAGCTAGCAGAGATTGGTTCATGAGGTTTAAGGAAAGAAGGCATCTCCATAGCATAAAAGTGCAAGGGGAAGGAGCAGGTGCTGATGTAAAAGCTGTAGAAAGTTCTCCAGAAGATCTGGCTCAGATCAGTGATGAAGGTGACTACACTAAACAACAGATTTTCAGTGTAGATGAAACAACTTTCTACTGGAAGAAGATGCCATCCAAGACTTCCATAGCTGGCGAGGAGAAGTCAATGCCTGGCTTCAAAGCTTCAAAGGACAGGTTGACTCTCTCCTTAGGGGCTAGAGCAGCTGGTGATTTTAAGTCAAAGCCAATGCTCATTTCCAT